ATTAATAAAAATTAATAAAAATTAATAAAAATTAATAAAAATTAATAAAAATTAATAAAAATTAATAAAGATTAATAAAGAATATTAAAAATTATTAAAAATTATTAAAATTTAATAAAAATTAATAAAAATTAATAAAAATTAATAAAAATTAATGAAAATTAATAAAAATTAATAAAAATTAAATTAATAAAAATTAATAAAAATTAAATTAATAAAAATTAATAAAAATTAATAAAAATTAATAAAAATTAATAAAAATTAATAAAAATTAATAAAAATTAATAAAAATTAATAAAAATTAATAAAAATTAATAAAAATTAATAAAAATTAATAAAAATTAATAAAAATTAATAAAAATTAATAAAAATTAATAAAAATTAATAAAAATTAATAAAAATTAATAAAAATTAATAAAAATTAATAAAAATTAATAAAAATTAATAAAAATTAATAAAAATTAATAAAAATTAATAAAAATTAATAAAAATTAATAAAAATTAATAAAAATTAATAAAAATTAATAAAAATTAATAAAAATTAATAAAAATTAATAAAAATTAATAAAAATTAATAAAAATTATTAAAAATTATTAAAAATTATTAAAAATTATTAAAAATTATTAAAAATTATTAAAAATTATTAAAAATTGATAGAAATTGATAGAAATTAATAAATATTAATAAAAATTAATCAAAAAAATTGCCAGGTATCGCATGAAAAAATTTCTCCCCATTAACGAACTTTTACTTCACTTACGTTCACTTTTAATTATTGAGATTTAAGAAATTCCAGCAAAGCGGGATCGGGTCAGCTAGTATTTATCTTAGTAAAATAGTATTTTAACTGAAATATTTCGGAAATAGTTAGAATTTAATCTTAATATATTTATTATCTACATGTTTAATGTATTGGAATATTTAAATGTAAACACTTACCAAGTTTTTTATTTCCGTGAAAAATATATATGTCTTTTAAAAACTATATTAAAAATATTATCGTGAGTGATTATAGTCCTCTTCTACCAATTTTTTTAATTTTTTTTGTTTAATTACTAGATATTTTTGGTGAGATTTTAAATTATTTACACCATTTTTCATGTTCATTATTGAGATTTTATTGTTGATATTTTCTTTTCTGTTTTAAATATAAATTAATATTACAATATTTTTGATTTTTGCTTCTATTTCATTGTTCTTAATCTGTCTAAAATAGTTTTCATTTTAATTTTTTTGTTCTAAAAATTTAATTTTCAAATGTTTAATTTTTCGGCACATTCCAAAATTATATGGATAATAAACTGAAGTTATCTATAAATTCTAGTCGCTTATAAAATTGAGATATCTCCAATGTTTCCAAAATATTTTGCTTTAATTTTATGTCATTCCTTTTTTAACTCCTTCAAGAAAAAAATTTGGGATTTGTGAGAATATAACGGTATTTATGTTTATTTTTCAGCAATTATATCTTGCGACTGGTAACCCAGGTGGTTACGAAGAAGGACAAATTCCGCTAGCAGTAGCTGAACCTGTAGAAGGAGGTCCTGAACCAATGGGTCGCACTCTTATGTGTCCCACAAATGAGGACTCTACTTTATGGAATAGCTCTGGAGAACAGTTGTGTGTTGTATGCCAGTATTTTCCATTATCTAGAGCTCTGCTTCCTTGCAGGTAAGAGAAATTTGTAGTTCACTGTAATATTATGGATGAAAAGCGTCCTATTACGAATAGGACGCTTCTACAAGTTTATCAGTACACGAGTATTTTGATGTTTATATTTGGCCCCAAAACTATTCTTATTGCATATTACATATCAACAACTTTAACACTTTTTATAGCTGAAGGCCACAGCACAACCTACATACCTTCAGATTACCAAATTAATATCTTAGATTTTCATTCAAACACCCAATCCATATTAAAAAATTGCAAACAAAATTGTTATATTTCTTGAAATAATTTTAAGTAATTTCTATTAAAATAGTTTTCATTTCAGACACACTTGTATTTGTGCCAGTTGCTTTGATAAACTGGATCGGTGTCCCATGTGTAGGGGCCCAATAAAAAGTTACTTCTGTATCAGAGGTGAGGAATATATGCCGATATCTTCAAATTCAAAACCACAGGATTCTCACCACAGCCCCCTATATAATTGGCTGCACCATTGGGACGACCGTCTAACCGATTTCCTTGGTTTCCAGCGATAACAAAATTTGAAACGATATTATTTTAAGGTGTGCATAAATCTATAAGAATTTTATCTTAGAAAAAAATGTACATTAGAAAAATCTATTAGTGAGAAAAAATTGACTATTGAAAATGTCGGACAATATTTTAAATCGTTTTAGTAATTATAATTTGATATTCGACTTTTTTTTAACATTAATCACTTTGGAAGGTAATTGAAACATCCTAACATTTTGTTTAGAAACGGTCAATTTTTTGTACTGCACAGGGATTCTTATGTGCGAACTCGACACGTTACGTATCGAATAGAGAGACATTACCTAAGAATCGCAGTTTATCGAACGAAGATAAGCATCTCAATACAAGACTTATAGAAAGAGGAGAATCTCACTGCTGGTGTGCTTTCTTTTTAGTTTAATTCGGTATTATAAAAAGTATGTTTGCATATTACTTTATTTTTAGAACCTTTAAATTGATATAAAAAATACTTCATTCATTAACGGTTTTCTGGTTTTCGCTTTTAGAATTTACACCTGCTATTATAGTCAAATAGCCAAAAATATTAGCTGGATCTATATAGAATTTATTTAAATGAAAAATTTGCTGTTTATTTAATTTGAAAACAAAAATCGGCGTCTTCACAAATAATATATTTATAAAAATACTATTTTGTCTTGTAGTACTTTGGCCGTTAAGATAATTTAACTAGAAGTGAGGGAATTTCCATTACATTCTTTCAGTGAATCATTGTGTTGTAAAATCCCTAATTTCCTATACCTCTTAAATTGATTAATGTATAAACATAACGCGGTTTTCGGATGTATCATAATATACTTTTTCTACATTTAAATATATAACGTACATGGCAAAATATCGTTTTTGAAAAACTATATGCTAGTATGTTCAGATTTAAATCTGGGAGTATTTGCCTTTTTTAAATTTTAGTCAAGAAATAACAATTATTATTAAGTACTCAACCTGTCTATTTGTTTGCTAAATATTTTTCTGGCAAATATGCAAAGTTGCCACGTGTGTCAGAGAAAATATTTGGCAAACATATTAAATTAATGATTAACCAAATGTAAATTAAACTCAAAAGATATAGTATCCAATTTAACCAAAAGCATGAGTGAAAATATGTATGTCAGTAATATTGAAAACACCCAAGCTAGGGTGTTCCGTAATAACTTGCAATATTTTAACAGAATGTTCTACCAACCATTTAAGGTTGGTCTTCTTATTAAATTTTGCTATTTGGATCCTTTCTGTCGAGATATTCGAGTCTTAAAATGAAGAAATTTGTTGTCTTTAATTCTCTTTAACAAGGGCTCAATTTACTTACAACGGACTTTTTTTTAACAGCCACTTAAAACGTTTGCAGTAACTGATGATTAAAATTTTATTACAACGTCAAGAGAAATTAATATATTTTTTTATATGTAAACTGTTGAATGTATGAAAAACTTACAAGAGTGGAAAAAGTTTCCAAACTGCGTGTAAAATTAAAAAAAAGGTCGAAATTGGCCTTTAAAGAAAAAGTGCAAAGATGTGTTGCTTAATATATACCCTTTATAAACATGAACTGAAAGAAGATACACTGTTACAAAATATGGTTTGACTAGGCCATGTATATCAAAATTACAATTTCGCCATTTTAGATTTAAACAATTCGACAGAGAGGACACAAATTGTAAGAATTATAAAAAAAAACTCTCTTAACTGGTTGGTACAACATCCTGTTAAAATATTTTGGAACATCATTTCGGAACATCCTGTAGAACGTTCCGTTATTTATTAATAATTATAGAATCATTTGTGATAAGATTCCTTATAAACTGGGTTTTTAATAAATTTATTTTCAATCCAATCATTCATGCCGTTTTATGTAACAATCGGAAAATATATATACAGGATGTCTCATTAAGAATGGAACATAGAAAACTGAAGATTATCTGATTAAAAATAAGACGATTAAACGAACCATGCTTGAATAAAATATTTGTCGTTTCCGAAATAAGTTTGAAAATTAATAAATTATTAATGACTGTAATTGTTTTATTTCTCAGTATAATTTTAATAAATTCGCCAAAAGTTTTTGGTGTCATAAAATACACCTATCAGCAAAAAAATCAGTTTTAAATAAACTTTGGCAAGTGGCGTACGGCATGGGTAAGTCCCTTCTAAATTTTACGTCACCATTCAAAAACTTATTTTTTAAATGTTTCGATTTTTTGTAAATAAATCGTGTAGTCTTACTGGGAATTTATAAAATAAAAATAAAAAATATCCACCTTTGCATGTGAATATCTCGAAAACCAATAAATTAATGAGTTTCCAATAGAAGTACATAATTTATTAAAAAACGTCAAAAAATTAAAATTATAGTACAAATCAGATTTTGGACAGTGGTGTAAAATTTAGAGGGTATGAAGGTGTTACTTATCCATGCCATACGCCACTAGCAACGTTTATTTAACTGATTTTTTGTTGATAGGTGTATCTTATGACACCAAAAATGTTTGCCGAATTTAGTAAAATAATAGTGAGAAATAAAAACAATTATTATAGTCATTAACAAAGTCGTAACTAGACTCCTTGTTGGCGCCTGTGGCAAATCACAAATTTTGAGCCACTCCCAACCTAAATTAAAAAGCTGATGAAATATATATTTCATTCTAATAAAAACAGACTTAAAAACAAAAAAACTAAAAATGTCAAGTAATCTAAAAATGAAATAACTAAAAATATATTCTCTGAACAAAAAAAAAATATTGGCATAATGACATATTAAATATACAACTTAAAATAGAACTTTTCTAGATTTAAATTCAGCAAATATGTTTATAATCTCATCATAATTTAAATGTATTGCAGTCGATTTTTCAATTGAAATTATAGACATATTTGTTAGTCCGTTGTTGCCCTACACAAGAACGTAAATATGACTTCACAAGCTTAAGTTTCCTGAACGAACATTCGCACGTAGCTATTGTCACTGGGATGCTAAGGAATATTCTCAAGGCCTTCTGTATGTTTGGATAAATATTTTCTACGGATAGGTTATAAATACCTTGCGAAATTTCCAAGCGCCCCATTTCAATAAAATTTTCATGCTGTGTTTTACTTTGCAATTTGAAGCTTTCTATTTCTGATGTGAATTCATAAGCATTTAAGTCAGCAGGATACTTAAGTGAAATATCTGCAACAATCCAACTTTTAACTGCGTGGTGGAATCAAAAGAATGAGATTCATTACTTGCTTTCTCCCCAGGCATTTTCTTTTTTATTTTTGCTTTCGAGACTCGTGAAGGATTGGCTCAATGCCTATTTTCTCTCCAATAAGCTTTGAAGACTGAATCAGTGGTGTAATCATTTTGTTTGTATGTTTTCATGTCGCCCAACAGTCCCTGAATCATTCGAGCACCTTTAGACACATCATGCTGCTTTTCTTGCAAGGAAATGTTAATCATATTTATTGTTTTCAAAAGAATGTTCCAAAACGTCAAGTAACCGGTGAATTCAATTTTTTTTAAACACTTCAATAACGTCTTTGATTGCACAATCGTATCTCCAGTACTTTCTTCCGATACGCTGATCTCTTCAAGAATGTCTACAACTTTTTCCAGCTGGGAGTTTAAAGCATGGACAGCGTTAGCTTTTTATGACCAGCGTGTATCGCTTGTTCCTTTTAAAGACGTCTTAAGTTTGCTTTTCAACAGTCCCCAGCGGAAAGGTTTGCATTTTTGGATTTATCTGAGCAGCATGAACTCCCACTAAATTAAGACTATGGGCAGTATAAGAAATAAATCGAACATTCTCATTCAGTAATAGAATTCGAGCCTGAACACCCTTGTAGTTACCAGCCATATTCGCGCAATCAGTTTCTCTTCTATTTATTTTGCAAGCCCTTCGTCAGTTTTCTCGTGGGTATTGCTGAAATCAATAAAACTCTCTTCAACAGTACATTTCCTGTTAGAGTCAATATTAACGTAACGTATTATTTGAACTAATTGTTTCTGATGAGCAACGTCTTTAGTACCCAATAAACATTTTTGATTGTATAGTAGTTATCGTTACTTTTATAACACTTTACTTATAAAACTTACAGTTATATATTTGGCAACCGTAACATTTCTCTTGCTGCTATAAACCTCTTAAAGAGCTTAAATGGGGCATTTATAAAGGTTGCGAACACCTTTGTTTAGTAACGCTAATAACTTAAAGTTGTATAAGTAACAGCAACAGAAACATTGTGGAAACCACTAAATAACTTATAAATAAATTCGTTTGAACACCTATAGTAATATAATATAGTGTTGTACATTTTTAGACAACCTTTATATAACTTGCCTATAATAGATTTGGTAATGTTTCTATTACCAGAGTTTCGTTATTTGAACATTGACATTTCTCACTCTGTCATTTGTCAAAACCTATTTACTCTTCTCTCTCAGATACACTTATTTATTTATAATCTTCCTCTATTCTAATAATAAAATAAAATTTTATGTTCTGGTTAGGCATCATCGATAGAAACAAAAATGGAGAATCACGATAAAATTAAAAAACCTATGTACTATTATTGTTGGACTTTACTGACTGTTGGGTGACTTAAAATTTTGGTGGGAATCGTATTTCATTGCGAAAGTTAATGAGATACTTCGAAGAAACGTAAAGGCCACTATAATTTCCACTAATATTTATTTTTAGTTTATATTTTTACTTTAAATATATGAACCAAATTTAATTTCACAGTTTATTACTAACATTTACTATTCCGATATTTCATCAGAACCAAAACATGTTTATTTAAGATTTATTTTAAAAATAAGGTTAATTATTAAGTTTTTGTATATATGGTTCGTTTCCAGTATTTTTATGATTTTTGTAAACAAGTATGGCGGAATCACGAGTATCCTTATATAACTTAAGACATCATTAATATAACTAAAAGTAATATTATATAACTGGTAGTAACAATATATATCTTATAGTTGCAATATAAAACTTAACAACCTATAAAATTATTTTATATAATTTGTAGTAACACTTGTTACCATAATGAAACCAAAACGGTAATTCATTTCTGTGAAACTGTCAAACGTGATGTCAAAAATTTAACCTCCATCCACGAGCAATCATAACCTGAAATTATTAAATTATCTCCACTATGTCTTTCAAAATAGTGCAAACTAAAGTACCGGGGGGTAAGGACTTACAATTGTCCCATCAGCTTGGGAAAAGGATGGCACTCTATTGGCCTCCTGCCAAAAAAAAGCATTATACATAAAAAAATACGCGATGGAAATTCCAGACCGGAGGCAGACTAGGCACCACAACCCTGCTCTAAAAAAAGAAATATGTTTTTAACATACGACCATTTATTATGGTATTGATTATTGTCTACTATTTCCAAGGACTCATTTTCAGCTATAAAGGTAAAGTTGCTGTACTAATATCGTTACTTTGATCAAGAATTTGTATTTCTTTATCATCAGCTTGATTTTGATTGCATTCGGTCGTCACACTTTTCAAGTTATTACTTACACTTTTCAGGTTATTTGATGAGGAATATAATAACTTTGTAATTTTTTTTGTTATTTTACGACGAAATGTCGTGCTGTGCTTTATTATTTTTTTTTTTCAGTTAATTATGATAATAATATCTCATTACAAAAATATTACTCATCAGCAAGCCATAAGCCATATATAATAAAAAAAAAAAATAACAAAATTGACAAATGACATATATAGTTATATTAGGATAATTTATATTACTGATGGTTGCAAAGTTTTATAAAAGAGGCGATATAATAACCAATAGTTTTATAACAAATATAGTCAACATCACTTCCTACCAGTTTTTATAAATGTAATTTATGACACCATTAAAAAACTTAAGGTATTTTAGTTATATAAATAGAGTTACGGTAACCCATATGTCACCTTTTTATAAAACCACTAGTAACCGTTACTTAAAGTTTTATAAAATGGTGATGGAAATAGTTCTATTACCTTGTTATATACCCATAATGCTAGTAATGTTATAAAACCATTATAAAACCTGGTTACCAAAAGGTACAGGTTATAAAACTCCGAAACCTTCTTATATAAATTTGTTACTATTATATATCTATTATAAAAATTCAGGTTACCGTAAATGTTTATTGGGTAGTCAAATAATATTGAAAAATATTTTGTAGTCTTGATATTCTCAATAATATGCCTCCTTACTTCTGTAGCTGCAAGCCTTATCAACTCGTTTTGTATGGTAGAGGAAAAATAGGTCAACCGACCTTTATTGTGAGCCTCAATGTGATCTTTAATGATACTGTCATAGTGGCTTATCAGTTCAATTGTGTTTAGAAATTTGCCACAATTTGAATGACCGATAATTTCAGAAGTTCCTTCAGCGCATCATTATTTTTTATGCAATGTAGAATGGCATTAAGTATTACCTTAAAAATGTGTCTCCACTTGTTCTTCTCCTTTTGCATAGCTTTTAAAAACTGATCATCAATTAACCTACCTTCGTTCCTTTTTTTTTTTCGAATGCCTTTAGCCAGATATAATTATCACGGTGGCTTACCGAATTTTTGTGACGAGGCAACAATGGATTCAGATGTTTCCAATCTCTAAATCCGGTTATGCAAACAAACACTATTTCTATTATTACAAAATAGTATGCCTGGGAAGCAAAAAATTGAGTCTAGCTCTTTGCAGTATACAGGGTGTTTCATAATATATGCGCAGGACTTCAGGACGTGATAGCTCGTCCAAAAATATGAAAAAACGTTTCTATTAACTTACCCTCTGAAATGCACCATTTTCGAGATACAGGGTGTTGAAATTGAAAAAAAAATTCTACGCCATTGGAAAAAGTACGATTTTGAGACGCCCATTTGAACCGCCAATGTTTTCTACACAAAAAAGGTACTCTTGGTCATACGCTCTAAAGTCGACCGTTTTCAAGAAAAATCAAATTTTAATGTTGAAATACATGGTCAATTTTTGGAAATAAAACAAAAGGAAGCTTATCTGTATACAAAATTTGAAGTTTTTCTCTAAAGCCGTTTTTGAGCTATCGTGCCAACAGACAGACGCCGACAGACAGACGGGCGGAATGGGGAAACATGTTTTTCGTAATCTAGGGACCGTGAAACGTGAAAATTTGAAATAATTTCGGAGGGTGACTTTTTCACGATTACAATACTTCCCTCTTATCGATAAAAGTAAAAAGAAGTAAATTATACTGTGTGCTTCGCTGAAAAAATATAAGTTGACGTCCTGTTTAATAAAAACAACTTGTACAGTTTTAAGGAATTTAAAAAAAAATTACTGACCTAGATATCCTTGATTTTTTAAATCATAACGTCGATGCAAATACGTTTATTATGATTGTTTTGAATATTAATGAATAGTATTTAATACAAAGGTTGTGAAAAATGTTTTTAAATAAAACACTATTTGTAATTTTTTGCTAAGATAAAATTATAGTCTTGAGAAAATCCATTTATTTATTGACACTGTGATTGACTGAGCGTGAATATATTGAAATTTTAAAGGTGTTCTGTAAAAAACGATTGTTTGACAGTTTACCATAAGTCTGTCCTTTTTGGTATGAAAATGAACCAATGTTTAATTCTTTAAATTGATGATGCTTGGATTATTAAAACAAGCAAATAAATGCACTACACAAAAAAGCAAAGCATAGAGTAAAGTATTTTTCTCTTTGTTGCGTTTTTTTTTTGTGTACATTTACATACATTTTGATTTAGAATACAAAATAGAAAAAATCAACAATACTATTTTTTCTCATAGTTGGTGAGCCCACTGAAAACGGCAAAACGGCATCTGTGCCAATCACTATCCTGAGCAAAATGGTAGAAAAAGATTTTATATATAAAAATATCACATAAGACATGATAGCTATAATTTTGTTTGCCCTGAAAATTACAATCCTAATTCATTGTAAACCTACCTTTTAAACCTGAATTATTATTTTTACCTACCTTTTAAACCATGTGCACACATTAATAATAATTGTAAACTCTTTTTAGACAATTCTTTTAAACCATAATCATAGTAGTTTTTTTGTCGTTTCTATGACAATCTGTAAAAATTAATCACTACAATAAGTATACAAATAAATCTTTAAATCAGCAAAATGATTCATATTTTTAATGGTTTTTACCTAGTAATCATGGATAGATGTTTTTTGTGCGATGTTAAGGGGATTAAAGTGTTAACCTTTAACGATGAACTCAAGAAATATTTGAATATGTAATTTTCTGGAAAACTTTCA